AGAAAGAAAGAAAGAAAGAAAGAAAGAAAGAAAGAAAGAAAGAAAGAAAGAAAGAAAGAAGATTCAAGAACTAAATTTCTATTGATAACAGGTCACCCAATCTAGAGTACAGTATTTTGTTCTATCAGCCTGAGCTAAGACCCAAATTAAAAACAAAGGCAGAATAAATAAAATAATGCTGTGCTCTATCATGTAAGGTAAGAAGGTGCCATAGGATATAAATTCTTCAGTAGAAGAGGAAACACAAACTTAAACAAACATGATAAAACTAAGGATAGAAATGGAGTTCATAATTTCTAAAGTACAGGAGGATAATAATCTAAAAGATGAATGAATATATGTAAGGAAAATATAGCAAGTAAGTAGGATAAGTAGGATAAAAGCAATGCACAAAATAAATCTTATAAATACTTATCCATACCAGGAACCACAGATGTAGGAAGATAAAATTTGCCATCTGGACACAATCTTTTGGTCACAAAACCTGGACTTAACAAACTCTAGTTGTATGTTGTTTATAAGAATCACTTATATATATGATATAAACTAAAAGAAAAATATGACTATGTTAGCAAATACTAAATTTATAAAGCTTTTATACATGTGTTATAATCACATGACTTTTAAGTAAAAAAGAATTCTTACATTTATTAAAATTATTATATGGGGACCAGGGAGATGGCTCAGTAGAATAAGCACTTGCCTCGCAAGTGCAAGGGCCTGAGTTCAATACCCAGTTCCTCAATAAATAAATAAATATAAAATAAAATTATTACATCTCTTCAAAGTGATGAAAAATCCTGTTTTCCAAGAAAATAAAACAGCCCTCAACTTAGGGTGATTGGCCATTACAACTGTTAATTCAATAGAAACTCTCCTTTAAATTTGGGATTCTGATCTCTCTCCTCAGGGTAAGGATGTATAGCAGGGAGGGTTTCTCCACGTGGCTCCATAGCAGTGTGCCACAGCTCTCAGGAGAACCAAGCCAGCCACACAGCCATGAGGGCAGACAGCTGACAATGCGCAGTGCTGCTGTCCAGCTGCAGAGTGGAGCTCTGGTGTTTGATAGCTTAAGTATACTAGATATACTTTGACTTAGGATACTCATGGGTTTATACATAGTTCCTGGATAAGTTGTGGGGCTCCTGTAGCTTGTTAAGATTGATTGATAGAATTATAAGGATGGGTATTGGCATTTACAGTGGTCTATTAACTTTAGAGTTATTTGGCCCTTCTGAAAAATGTTAGAAATGCAACCTCCTATCTCGTCCCTTAGAAAATCGCCCTCCCCTAAGTTCACCTGTACAGGTACAAGATGATTGACAGCACTGATATTTGTTAAGAGGAATAATTGGGGGAAATGTAAATGTTCATCACTGGTCTGTGCACTGTGGTGCATCCATCAAATGCAATACTATACAGCATTAAAAGTGAGCGAAAGAGAGGAGCTGTATGCTTCACAACATTAATATGGGGACTTAGAAGCTCAGACAGATAATGCTGACCAAAAGTGATGCTTGAGAAGAACACACACAAAAATATAGCATGACCTTCTTTCTGTACGATTGAAAGGCAGAATAATAACATATCCTGCTTAGGATCCATCATACATATGTGGTAAAAGAAAAACTACTAAAGCATAGAAAAAGGCAAGAAAAACTACTAAAACTATACATTCAGAGAAGAGGCTTTCCCTGCAGAGGCGGGAAGGTGTGCAGTGGCAGAGTCGGGGACCCACAGGTGCTCCGTCCTGGCGTACTAGATTTCTTCAGCTAGCGGGTGGGCACATGTGTGTCTGCTTTATTACTTACATACTGTTTGTTAGGTCTGTAAAGTGTATTAAGGAGAAAATATGAATGTATATTAGGAAGATAAAATTGACTTACACTAACTCAATGTAAAAACTGTATTTATAACAATATTTTTAAAGATGTAGTTTAGAAAAATTTGTAAGTTTACAAAAATCGATACATATCTTTTTACTGAGGTGCTAAGTAGTAACTTATTAGTTGTTTAAACAGAACAGTGTTAGTATATGTAGTTCACAGTTCATTACAGACCAGAATGATGGTGGTGTTTGAATTCTCAGTATCAAAGATGGCTATTTGGCCACTTCTTCTCTTCCTTTTCAGAGGTATCATTGAAGAGCCCGAACAACAGCTTTTAGAAAGCGTAATTTTCAAAAGTACTTTTGATTATAAAATAGAACATTAGGAAAATGTCTTCAATCACAGAAATTGAGAAGTGTAAAACAGAGTTGAGCTTTTTTAAAATTTATCCCAAATTTTGTTAAAATTTTAGTTCCGATATCTTTAATTTCCAGGAACCTCCCTGACATAAATAAACTATTTTTGATGAGGAATCCTCAAGTTTTCTTGAATTAGGATGCCCTCTGTATCCCAGTAAGTTTTTAGAGCATCCTGAGACCAGAAAAATGAGTGACAATTCAGGGTAAGTAGTTAAATTACAGCAACCAACAAAAGACCAACTATACAAATATATGATGCCCAGAAAGATACATAGCAAAACCCCATGCACCACTGGGAACTGCCTTGAGCTAGTTTTCAGTGTCCAAAAGCTGATGATTGCTGTTTCCCTTGAAAATTTAATATAGCTCCTTGTCCTTGTGATTTTGCCTTGGCATCCTGCAGCCCAAGGTGCACACCCACCAGCCTGATGCCCACCCAACCCAAGGAGGGCTGTGCGTCACTCATGCTCTCACCTGTCTCTTCTCATTGACTGCAGGAGAAGCCGTACAAGTGCTCAGAGTGCAGCAAAGCCTTCAGCCAGAAGCGGGGCCTAGACGAGCACAAGAGGACCCATACTGGAGAAAAGCCTTTCCAGTGTGATGTGAGTTTGAATTCTCTTCTGTTTCCTTAGTGTGTTTTGCAGTAAGAGGAAAGTATGTGTTTGTGTGTGCATGTGTGTGTGTGTGTGTGTGTGCGCTCGCATGCGCATGCACGCATGCACACATTGACATAGCCATGCGTGTGTTCAGCTTGTAGCGTATCCAGTCTGTGCCTGTTAATGTCTTACATTGTTTACAGCTTTTGATTGCATAATCCCTGTAATCAGTTTGTAGTTGTTTTATTCATCACAGTTCACTGGCAGCAAATAAAATCTAATTTTTTCTAACACGCTGGCACCATTTTAATGTCATTGAATTGTTCTTCCAAGGTGTAAATTCACCTTGTTTGAGGCAGCTTTCGTGTTTGTGCCCAAGTCTTTGACAGTTTAATGACTGTTAAATCAAAAATTTGGTTGGTCACAGATATTATTTACTTTGTTTAATCCATACAGTAAATTTCTAACATGCATATAAATTCCTCTCTGTTAAATGATGCTGCACTGAGTTTTTTCTGCTCATGACATTTGAAAAGAACTGGAATGACAAGTGTTTACATTACTTTTAAAAAGAAGAATTACTACTGTTCTCAGTAAATTTAATCTGAGCTTTGATTAATTTAGGAGAAATTCTCAGCCAGTGGTGTCAGTATTTTAGTGGGATAGGTTGATAATTGACAAAAAATTGACACAGGTGTTGGGAAGGCATACGATAATTATTTTTGACACATATATACCAGAGTGAATAGTAATGTAGCTCAGTGTAAGAGGAAAGAAGAAGTTTTAAGGTGTGAAGCAAGCGCTGTGCAGACTCTCTACTTGTTGATAGTCAAGAATGTAATCCCGTGAGTGAGTCTCAATGGAGAAAGTGTGGCAAGCAGTCTCTAAACAAGGAAGCTCACAAACACTGGATGGTTCCAAGAATCATTGGTGGTGAGGCTAAGGCACCAGTGCACTCCCAGTGGGCCTGCTCATAAAAACGTATTTATATGGGGCTGGGGAGATAGCCCAGTGGTCTAAGCACCTGGCTGGCAAGTGCAGGGACCTGGGTTTGATCCCTAGTACCATGTGCCATGCTGGTCCCACCCCAGGTGTGCCAAGTGGTCCACTGAAACCAGGTTTGGTGGTGCACGCCTGTAATCCCAGTGCTACAGAGGCCAAAACAGGAGGATTGCTATGAGTCCAACCTGTGTAGTAAGAACCTGTACCAAATACCTAAAATAAAAAAAAAAGTTTTCAACAGTGCACCAGAAGGGAATAAAATATGTTTATACATATATACAAGGTAGCTGTACTACTAATTTATATTATTTCACTGAAAGCAAAAGTTAGTGCCTATATTGTTTGCTCAATTTTGTAAGCCTATCTGATAATCTAAGCAACTACTTTGAAAATAAGATGCAATATAATAACCATTGTTAATTTCCTATCATCTTATCTTGAAATTTGGTATTGTTTTCATTTTTATGCACTTTAAAATAAAAACATATATTACATTAAGAGACAAAAAATAAGAAAAGCCCACAGTCTAAAGAAATACACATGGAGCTCTATTCTCATGTGGACTACCGTCTTAATAATTTCAACAAGTTTAATTAAGTGCTACTCTTACTGAAAGTATTTTTTTCTAGACACAGAAACTGTTTGAAGGACTTACTTATCTTCATAAATAACCAATATGGGCCTTAACTTAAGCTTTAACAGTGTAGGGAAGGGACATCTTCACCCCATCACATACTTCCTTTGTCCATGAGGAATATTTTTGTTGACTGTTTCCTTAGGTAAGCCCAACAGTGATGTATTAAGCTCTCCCATTGCAAGCATGCTATTTCCTGTCTACCATTCTACCATATACTTCTGCGGACACAGAACTTGCCAGGCATCCTCGGTAGCCCAGACTGGAATATGCAGTGAAGATTTATATTTCCAAGTGGCCAGAAGCTTCCCTGTAGCGCATCCCGCCCAAGGGCGCACTGGCTGTCACTGTTTCAAAATCATGTCTTCATCATCTGCTCCTTCTTAATCTCATCACCTTACTTCTGATCACTGCCTGCTGAAGAGCATGCAGACCACCACTTTCTCTCAGAGTTCCTGCCTTCTATCAGGCCATATCTCAGGCCCTCACCCTTGCTGCAGATCCCATTTCCTGTGACTGTGTTCTCCATCCCTCATACCCTGCAAGGTGATGTTTAGGTGAAATTTATATACCAAAAACAAGCATTTAAAAATGAGCTCAATGTCGTGTGGTGCACTGACAGTGTTATGCAACACTTGTTTCAGTTTGAAATGCTTCTGTTGTACCAAAGATCAACCCCACACTCATTATTCCACAGTTAATCTCCATTCCCTTACACCCTGGAAGCCACCAGACCACTTTCATTTTTGTATATCTGCCTATTCTAGGTCTTTCTTTCTTTCTTTTTCCATATTTTAGGGAAGGATCTACCGGGTATTCAGGTTCTCACTACTAGATCGGACTGGTAGTGATCCACCTGTTTGCAGCCTCTGAAGACCTAGGATTACAGGCACATGCCACCCAAGTCTCAATTGCCAGCTCAGTGTGCCTCGGGGCAGGGCTGGCATGGCTGGCCTGGGGATTGAACCCCTGGCCCCTGTGTCTGCTTGCAGGTGCTTTAATCCACTGAGCTACTTGGCCGGCCCTCTAGGTATTTCTTATAAGTGAATTATATAATATGTGACATTTGTAATTGACTTATTCATTTATTGTACTCAAATTTAATTGTTGTTGTAGCTATTATAGTAAACAATTTTTCATGCTGGTTGGGTGATGCTCCATTGTATTTTATAGAACAATTTATTTATTCACTCTTCCACTTACACCGTGGTGGCTTCCACCTCTTGACTATTATGAGTAGCACTGTGATAAATACGGGTGCACCAGAATTTGTGTGAGTACCTTATCTATCTTCAGTTCTTTGGGGCCTACACCTAGGCATGGAATTGCTGAGCCATATGTAGATTCTGCATTTTAATTTTGAGAAACCCCCATTCATACTGTTTTGCACTGAAGCCAAAGTACTTTTATTTCCACTGAAAGTACATCAGAATTTCAGTTTCTGCTCACCGTTGGCAGCAGTTTCCCACTTTGTTTCTTTGTTTGGTTAATTATAACTGTCTCTTTGGAGTTGTGTGTCTCTTTAGGGGTTGAGTTGCATTCCCCTAAAGGTTAATGACATTGCGGATCTCTCCCTGTGCTTCTTGTCCCTTCGTATGGCCTCTTGGAAGAAATTCCCCATCAAGTCCTTTCATGTTTTAAAATTGTGTTTTCTTGCCACTGTGTCTGTCTTAGCGTGAATTTAATGGCATTACAAATACCACTTCTAGGGCTGGCCAAATAGCACAGTGGATTAAAGCACCTGCCAGCAGATGCAGGAGCCAGAGATTTGATCCCCTGGCTGCCTTGTTGCCCCGCCCCCTGGGTGCACTGAGATGGCAGTTGAGACTGGGCGTGGTGGCACGCGCCTATTATCCTAGCACTTGGGAGGCTGTAAACAGAAGAATCACTAGGAGTCTGTTCTAGTAGTGAGACCCTGAACACCCTGTAGACCCTTCCCTAAAATACAGAAAAATAAATAAATATATAAAAATAGAAATTAAAACAAAAACAAATACCACTCCTACACTGTAGACTCCACATGGTGAAACAGTGTGATTTATCATTGTATTCTTAGCTGAAATGACAGCCACATTGTACACAGTATTTGTTAACTGAAGATGCCTGCATAAAATTCTAATTCCTATTTATCAAGGTATTTTCTGTTAAATATCTTGTTTCAGTTACGCCTTAAATTTTTTTTAATCTTCAAGCTAGTGTAATAGAGACAACATTTTTCCATTTTTAGCAGGTGAATTAATGTTAACTCAGAGTAAGGGAAAGAGTTATCTAAGAATCTCAAGTGGAAAGAAAGAAAAAGAAACATCCCTGTTGTACACTTGAATTCTCTGTCATTCTTCCCTATCTTTAAAATGACTGTAAATGCCTTTGCATGTGGCTGATTTATCCATGGCATCATTTGGAATCCTTTAATGACTACACTTGAGCTCATCGTCATAAAACTAAATTTCTAGGTGGTCAGCTGCTGAGCTGTGACACAGCGTAGTGCTTTCTCTGCGCTGGTGTTTCACCCCCATTTTGGCTTTCACTCAGCGATCTGTTAGACTGTTGCCACGTCATCTCCTGTGCAGAGCTTCTAGGACTTCCTGAATTCCCAAACCTTCCCAATATCTGCCTCGTCTCACTCAGCTTCCTTTCCATCGTCTCCAGCTTGCTCTCGCTATAATTTCCATGGTGATTGTGTAAATGGACTTGCACTTCATATCCCTTCCACCACACTGGGGAGCTGAGCTAAGAGCTTTCTTTGTACTTCAGAATAACTTTGGTGTTTAAAATGGTGTTAGCCAGACAAATGGGAATTGCAAGATGGGCTCACAAGTCTGTTTGAAGTGAAAGCTTTTAGTAACAATTGGCCCTTCAGAGGTGCCGTAGAAACCAAACCCAGACTGTCTGAGTTTAAGTCTTGGAAATAATTTGCTAGTTATGTGAATATGGGAAATCTGGATGACTTTCAATATCTCCATTTCTTCTATAAAATGGGGATAGTAGTACTAATATCTATTTAAAAGCGTTGCTTTATGTGCTTTGGGATTACAAAAATTTTGCTTTGTAAAGCCAGAAAAATGAAGAAGTACAAAAACAAATGGAGACAAATAAAATGATCTCTAGTTTTTCAACTGATGTCAAATAATACTTACATTAGTCTGTTGTTGACATTTCCCCATATATTTATTTCTGCAATATTTTTAGCCTCTAGCTCAATACTGTAGACTAAATTGTAGTAATTTTGTCATTATTTCCTTCCCTTTACATTTTCTCTTTCCTTTAAACATTTTTCTAAATATAAACTTTCTAACAGCTGAAAAATATTTCTTCACCCAATCAAATTGAGTGTAGCATTTCAGCTTCATAAATGATTCTACAAAAGCATCCTACATATAAATCTTGCGTCAGAGATGTTCACACAAGTGGCACTCCGGCTTCGCTGAGGGATGCCATCTCTTTGCCTGTTCAGGACATTCTTGAGGAAGCATGTATCGGTTTCAGTTATCCCTACCACCATCTTCTGTACATCTGCTCCCCATTCTAACCCCCGCTTTTCAAGTTGTGTGTATGTTACTTTTTGGAAATGTATACGAAAGGACCATATGTGTTTGTGCCTTGCTTTTTTCCTAATTTCAAAGTCTTGTCCTCTAAATGGGATATTTAATACCTCTCCATTTTCATAATTTATACATTTATAGTCATCATATTTTAGTAGTCCTTCTCTCTGAGTTTAAAGCAACTTGACTTTGTTGTTCAGTGACTTTAAAGGTATAGAGTCAGTTTCTAGTTATAATTACGAAGCTTATGATCATGACCTATCACCAAAGAGAAATGTTGTTTCCTAAGATTAACTGGATAAGTGTGCCTTCTCCAGGAATTATCCTATTTGCTTGCACAATACTGAGATGTTCTTTGGCACCTCCATTCTTTAGAATAGCTGCTTTCTTTCTATTTTCATTTTGACTGCTAAGCATTTATTTCACTTGTTTACACAGTCTTCAGAATGACATAAATATTTACAAAAAGAACCTATTTTTATTTTTAAAGAGATACAAATAATAGTCTGAAAACCTATTAGAAATAATACAGAATTTCATGAGCAAAGTGATAGGAATTCAACAGTGATTGTTACATTGCATACTGTTGGCTTCAGATTAGTTGTTCAGATTACTGGGTGCAAGTCAGTAAGATTGGTCAAAAGATTATAAAAAATTAAAATCAAGAGAGATTAACTGCTCTTTTCAGTACACCAGCAGAAATCAGTAGTACAGTTGTCCAAGATATCCTATGTGTATATGTAGGTACTGCTTTTTCCCTTCCTTCCTTCCTTCTTTCTTTTCTCCTGTCCCTCATACCAGTTGTTCCCTCCCCTTGAACAGAGTAGCTGCTTTCTTTGAGCTCACTCATGTGGCAATTTTTGACTTTCTTATTAATATCAGTTTACTATTTCCAAATGCCCTGATGCTACCTTCTTGGTAGAAAAGATAAAAGGGAAGAATTATTCACTAACATTCATCAAGTCTCGGAAATCTCACCAGTCAGCCTAGACTGTTTTATTTATTCTTACAGTCCAGTCAGGTAACCATCATTATTGTCATTTTGCAGGTGAAGAAGTGAAGTTAAAGGGGTTAATTTGTTCATTTGAACTTCTTTAATAAGCAGTGGTCAGAATTCAAACCCAAGTTGGTTCTTGAACAAGTAACTTAGTGGAATGTTGTGTGTAAGTAAAACTCCACAGAGATCCATGCCATCCCAGAGCTAAGGATCCAGTGAGTAGAAAAATAATGCTCAAATAAATAAATAAATAAACAAATTAAATAATACTTAAATAATAAATTGATTTACTTATTTGATACCTGGAGACAAAAAGGTATCCAGGGATGGTATCCTCAGCTTTAAATTGGGATGGTAAGATAGGCGGGAGTCCCCGGAAAGCGGTCTCACTCAAAAGCTTGGATTCTTTGATCCACACCATGCTGCTACTTACACATCTGCTAAAATATATTATCATTGGATTAGTCCCCTTCTTATCTGGTTAGCACCTCAGGCTTTGGAGGTTCTTCTTGCTGAGAATGCAGGTCCTACTTCCGCCAGAAAGAAAGCCCAGTTTTTATTTGCCATACTATTTTCACAAGCCTTACCTCATTGAGGGCTCCGGCTTTCTTTGCAGTAGTTTTACATGCAGTTTCCATTCTCATTATATTCATTATGTTTTCCATGGTGTTTTCACATTAGTTAAATGTGCCTTATTTTAGAATGGATGTGCTTTTGAAGATTTTTATGTAAATGGAATTTTTGCAAATAACACCAAGCTTTGAATTTTATTTCTTTTTATAACTTACGTAATTATGCCACGCATGTTCTGTGCTAACTTACTGGTTTTAATTATCGGGTTGTATATTGAGCCAGGTGGCAATGTGGAGAAGCTTATATGAAGTAAATTTGTTCTATTAAACAAAGCATATAATAAGAAACAAAAAATGGAATAGTGGATAATAAATGTCCCCTTGCTATGCTTGAAGTAACTTCAGCATCACACAAGGGACTGATGTGGCAGGATCACGGTGAGAATGTCTCATGCCATTTGTGCCTTCGAGAGTAATGCCACGTATGCCCTGGAGCATTTCACTTAACAGGTTTAACATGCACTGCACACTGCATCAATCATGCAGAAGGTATTAGTTGTAGGACGCTGCTCCTGCAGAGATGCTCAGGGAAGGGAGGGTAATTATGGGGCAGAGGTTGCAAAACATAACTTGGAAATTGAATTAATTTCTTCCCCCATTCTTGTGGATGCTAAATTTAATTTATTCCAAGAACAATTGTTTTTCTTAGACCTGTGATTGCATACACGGTGGCAGAAATTTGAATAATGTCGATTGTACAAACCTTAAGTTGGTTTTTCGGTGTAATGCGATTGATACGTTTGGATCTTTTCTAGGTTTGTGACTTGGCTTTTAGCCTGAAGAAAATGCTGATCCGACACAAGATGACGCATAATCCCAATCGTCCCCTGGCAGAATGCCAGTTTTGCCATAAGAAGTTTACAAGGAATGACTACCTCAAAGTGCATATGGACAATATCCATGGTGTAGCTGACAGCTAATGGGAGCTGGAAAGGACTTAAGCCATTCACAGGGGCACTAATAGGAATCCCAGCTTTTTCTCACTGGATCAACATAACAGAAAGAGCCAAAAGTACATTAGTGGTCTCATGTTCCTATTTACTTACCATCGGTGTCTATGAAGCACATATTAAAAAAAAAAAAAAAAAAGAGAGAGAGAGAGAGCGTGAAAGATAACATCTTACTTTTACCAAGAAATAACATAAACAGAAATAATGTAGCCTTGCAAAACACTATTTGTGTTTTATTTTATAAAATGGAGAAAGGAATTACGGTTCTCGTCTATCTTCCTATCATGAAATTTATTGGCATATTTCCCCATTAGGCCTTATTTTATTGTTATTTTTGTACACATATATATCTGTGTGTATATGCGTATGCAACACTTTCAAAGGCTGATTATTGCAGCTGCTTATTACTAACTTCAATAGAAGTTGCGATAGCCAAGTATTTCTTTGCAAATAAGAGTAAATATTTTAACAGTCTCAACCATGATTATTGTGAGAAATACTTGCATTTCTTGAGACAGACCAAGAGTCTGTCTTATTTAATAGTTCCATACAACAAGTGAGTTAAAAAAGAGATATTTGAGAATTAAAGCATCTATGAAATTATTTTTTTGTGTGAGAGAATTCTCAGAAATCATTATTTTACCCATCATTCTCATGCAGATATTCATGATCTGGAATACTTTTCTAAGATCTACACAAAACTAACTGTAACATTTAAATATTCAGCCAGCTGTCCCTCCTCATGAGTTTCTGCTGTTCTCTTCAGAAATGAATGGCATACAAGTATACAGAGCTAAAAATAGAAACAAATAATCTGGTCTCCGGATTTGCTGGCAGAGTGGCAGGACAATCATGTAGCATTGCCTCGTTAGTTGTGATAAATGTAGCCTTTACCCTCTCATTCCATCAAAGCACACAGTAGATGTTGTGTATGTGTGATAGAACCCTCAGAATGTTAACATTCTGTTTTGTAAAAGTTGTTTTCCATAATCTTGGCAATTGGTCATTCTGAAACAGTTTTGAATTGTCCTCAATAATCCTATATAATTAGGAACTTAATATAAAAAAATAAAAATATGGCAATTGTTATGATTGAAATTTTCATTAATCTGTGAGGAAAATGAAAGCAAGAGCATGATTTCTTCCTTTAGATTCTACTTCAGTAAAGTGCTTGACAGCAACATATGATGAACATCTTACTTAGGGAGATAATACAATGCAAGATTATAGTGTTGTCAAAATAATCTACAGTTGCAATGGCAAACCATTTTAGAGCTTTCAATGATGAAAACAGCCTGCTGCAGCACCTAGGGAAATCCAAAAGCCTGAAAAAGTTAAAATGAAATACAACTATGAACCCCATAATTGGAACTTGCTGAAGAGAGAAGAACTACAGTTTTAAGTTATTATGGCAGGTTAAGGAGGAAAGGTAAGGTGCAATTCTTTGACCTTACAAACTGCATTTTAGATTATGTTGATGCCCAGCTTTAGTTTCAAAAGAAACATCAAGATTTGATATAGATGTATTTAAAGCCTGTAAAAATTCTAAATTTGAAACTCATCAGAACACTCTTTTAAAAATATAAATTCTGAAATTATAATTGAGAAGATATATAAGTATGGTTACATATCTACATAGTATTTTGTATCTGATATCAGAGACTGTATTTTATAAAAATAAATTTTGGTCCTGTTTTGCACTATTTTTTGTTTCAACAATATGTTTTTAGATCAAAGTATCTTCAGTTTATCGTGATAAAGATTTTTATATCATTTGAGTATAAAAGGACTACTGTGAAATATCATTTCAGCACACTCTGCTTATTCTTTTATCTTCTCTACTTGGCATTCCTCATGCCCTGATTACATATCAAGTTGAAACTTTAAAGAAGGACTAGTGCCAATCTTGGATAATCTCAGTGAGAGTCACAATTCTTGGACTGCTGAGAACTTCCCTTAGAACTGTGGTGCTCATCGCCATGTTGCTTCAGAGTAAACTGACCAGGAGAGAGTGTAGGGTCTACCTGGCTGTGGGCTGATGGACAGGGAAAACCTCGGAAGGGTAGAGGGCTACTGGACCACCACACTCCTCAAAAGACAGATGCCAGAAGAAGTCCTCAGAAGGCATCTCTATGCTGTCACGTTTTATCCAGAAGGTGATTATAAATAGCTACAGGTGTATTAGCTTTGGTGTGCTTTCGCTTTTGTGTTGTTCATAATAATAGCGGAAAGTGTTTTTAGGCTTGACTGACAAATCAGAAACATAACTAGTCATAGATGAGTAGATAAACTAGAATGCAGGTACCCATTTGAAAAGACGGCTTTGTTTTTTTTCTTGCTGTAATCAGTTTTACCTCAGGTACTTTGTCTAGAAAAAGCCAAACTCGATGCCTGTGGAGTTGTAATTAAATACTTCTATGGGGCATTCAATAATGTGTGTCAGTTCAGATATCTTTTTGATAAATGCTGTATTTTTCTTACTGTATTTAAGACATTTGCCATCCTGAGTTTCTTATTTCAAAATCACTGGCTTTTCTTTTCGTTGTTGCTCCTCATTGACTACATAGAACATAAATGTATGTGTTGATGATTCATATTCTTGGAGTTCCACAGGGCAGTTAAAATGCTACTTGGAATAAATGTATGTCTCTCAGCTCTGTGAGTCTGTGCGTCTGCCTGCCTGTGCTCTTATGCAGAGCTTGTCGCGCAAGCGCATGTCTTGACACAAAGCTCTCCAGATCGATCTTAGCCACAGCCTTGACTGACAGTGGAAGGGGAAACAGAGGGGCTTAGTGCCTTAGTGTGTGTCTTCGATCCCATGTACTGCTCCCCTCCCACAGCTGGACAGGAAGCACAGATGCTAAAAATAAATCTTTTCTTCACAAATCTAGCTATTTCATATGCAAACTCATTTTGGGGTGATGAATATGTAGAAGGAGGCAGGTAAAAAAGAACTAATATCTCGCCGTTAATGTTGAGGTTTATTTGTATGTATATAAATAGAATACTTGTGACTCTAACTGAATGCCAATCACATTTCTGTTTTATCACAAATTTATAATAAATGTACACAAATCTCTATTAGACTTGGTGTTGACATTTTATTTTATTACAGAACTCAACTAGTATAGTTCTAGAGTAAAATCAAAAAAATACCTTAAAGTTGTTTTTAATAAAAGAAGAAAATATTAGTTCATTATCCCCCAACCTCATGGGGTTATAGTTTGTACATTTTTGTTCATTTGTTAATACCAGGGATGGAACTCAGGACCTCGCTCGCACTTGCCAGGCAGGCACTTATGCTCTTGAGTTATCTTTCTGGCTCATAGTTTTTACTTCTAAGTGTTGCTGGATCTGGAAAGCATTTCTGTATTAATCACTCTTCTGTTGTTAGAACAAAATGCCTGGGACCTGTAACTTAAAGGAGAGGCTTAGCCTGGCTTACAGTTTAGAGAGATTCAGTCCATAGTCCACTTGCTGTAAGGCAGAAAGGTGTGTGGAGGAGAAAAGCTTTCCTAGTAAAGGAAGGCTGCTCAAATCAGGATAGACAGAAGGCAGGGCAGCCAGAAGGCAGGGGCAGTAGCTGCCCTGCCAAATCATGGCTCCAGCCACTTAGGGCTTAGCAGTATATTTAATGCTGAAGTCAGCCTAGGTGAAGCACTGATGGGCATAGCGCCCCTGTGTATGACTCACTTCTCACACACGTGGCTTCGGGGGGGCGTTTTGCACTGAAGTCATAACAATCACAATTGTTGAGCCAAGTCGGCTCCAGGACAGTCAGAGGGCACTTTCCATGTCCCTCATCTCACTCCTGCACATAGCTAGAGCAACACATAAAGAAGAACATCGCTGAGAATCAGTGACTTCAGCAGTGTAGCAGCAGCTATAACAAAGCACAATATTTACAAAACAATTGAATGCAATAAATGGCTGGCGCTGACTTCTTTAAAAGGATATTTCATCATTTTGGCAGAGCCTCAATCTTGGGAGGCATGCCTGATACAATGAATAATCCTAATCATTCTGTGCTATGAGAAGTTGCATTAGAAATGTGTTCCCTTAACTTCGACTTCCGAGACTCAGCAGAGGTCCTGATCCTTTGGTGCTTTCTCAGCCTTGATGGGCTTGCACTCAAAACTGCCACCAGGTCAGGTTGCTGATCTTTTTCTACAGATGAATGAGCCTTCAATGCGGAACATTCAGTGTGATTCATGTTAAAATATTCTAGGTTGCTTATCCCTAAAATAGTGTGGAATTCAACTATATCATGTAAAAAGAGTGCCTCTGATCTGGTGTCCCTGAGTGTCTTTGCTTTCTTTTAAAAATGCTTAATATAATAATAAAATACTTGTTTATATTTATTTACACAATACGTAGAATGGTTACCTAAAATAAAAATGTGATCATTAAATCTTTGATAGCCCATTTAACTTCTTAGTTATGCACATGTTAAGGCAATTCATGATTTTATTACTTGTACCCATGTAAACTTGGCATAAGTCATGTCCAAAAGAAAATCACTTATTTATTTATTTATTTATTTATTATTTATTATTTATTTTTTTATTTTTGTCTTTTTGAGACAGGATGTTGCTTTGCAGTTCAGACTGGCTTTGAGCTCACTTGGTAGCCCAGGCTGGTCTTCAACTCCCAGTGGTCTTCCTGCCTCAGTCTCGTAAGTGCTGGGATTATAGATGTGTGCCCCCATCCCCAGCTGAAAATAATATTCTACATGTCAGTGACTCCTATGCTTAATGTTGGAACGATTTAACCTTGATCACAATCAGCGCATATGAATCTCATTTCTTAAAAAATGTGCTTGATATGAATTAATTACAGAAAGCTAAAAACTATCATTTTGCTTCTGGAAAGAGTGTTAAAAACAATTTCAGCTCAGTGAATAACCTCAATTTTTGATGATTTGTCTTCTAATGAGACTAATAATGATTTTTCTTTAACTTTTCTAGTATCTTTTACTTATTCTACTGTGATTTCTTTTAAATAGATATGTTTTGGATAAACAAATAATGTTAAAATTTATCACTCTCAATTCCTTCTGGTAACACTGAGCTGACTGCTTTTCAGACTGTAGTAACTTTTTCCTACCATTCACAGCCTCACGTGACAGTTGGATGTCTGACAAGGCTTGTATTAGAGTCTATATTTAAATAGAAATGCATTGTTTTACCCCTAACATATGAAGTTCATCATCATCATGGGTTAATCTGCTAAAAGTCTACCTTATAGACATAATCCAAGACCCTCCTTTGTATAAATCTACCTGGAACAAGATGACTGCAGATATACCAGTGAATGCAAAAGATATTTTTTGAAAAGGACTCCAGAGGTTTTGAGATCAAAGACACTGTACATTACTGTCGAAAGCTAAATTAATCTAATACTGAAATTAACTATTGAACTGATGCTCTCCTTATTTATTTGTTAATGTTTTATTTTTTAAAAAATGATATAAAATTAGGAAATACTAAAATGTAGAAAATTTTAGTACTAAAATGCAGAAAATTTTCTCTGACTTTACTTTCTAATTACAATTAATATAAATTTTGCAACTCCTTTTCTGACAAGCACAGTGCACAGCTCTCCTCAGAAAATAAAAGTGTCAAGTGTAACTGTCAGTAGCGCTTCAAGCGCTTCCTAATCTTCTCACCTGGTATTCATTTCTAATGCAATTTTGGCCGCTGCATGACTTTGGTATAGTCTCCGATTGTGCCTTTATCTGGGTTTTGAGATTTTGAGTTTTGTTCCTGAACTTAAATTATGATATTCAGGAGCTTCAGTTGATCCTTTATTCTATGGCTATAAAATATGAAATAGGAGGAAAATATTTTAGCTGATTAGGGTATTCTTAATACTAAGTATCCGAGTTGAGTAAATTGATTATATATGAAGAAAAATTGTTCATGGCTTTTCTTTTTATTTTTTAAATGTTCTCAGTGGGATTTATTTATTTATTCATTCATTCATTCATTTATTTAGTACCTGGTCTCTCTATGCAACTGAGACTCATAGTGATCCTCCTCTCTAAGCTGCCCCTGCACTGGGATAACAGGTAGGTGCCACCATGTCTGGTTTCAGTGGCCAGTTCATCATGGGGCCAGTGCACCATGCTGTACCAGGGGTCTAACTCGAGTCCTCACGCTTGTTGTGCAGGCACTTAGACTGCCGAACTATCTCACAGCCTTCATGGCTTTTCTAAGCAACCAGTATTGCCCCTAATTGCCCAGGCATGAAACAAAGGATTTATATGTTGTTGCTTATGACAGATCCTGAGAGAGAGTTCAGTGTATGGATGGTATAGAGCCACTGGAATAAAGAAAGGAATTCAAAATCTAAATCCTATAAGCTGAAGTCCGGAGAAAGGGCGAAGCTGGAACTGTATGTTTTTATTTGAAAACAAATTAAACATTTTCAGTAATAAAAATTGATACTGGCATAAGTCTGGGTATGGTGGTGCATGCCTGTAATCCCTGTGCCAGGGAGGCTGAAAACAGGAGGATCACAATGAGTCAGATCTGCATAGTGAGACCCTGTACCAGATGGATAATGTGAAAAAAAAATTGTTACTGGCATAAAAATAGAGATGTATAGAAACTGTCATGTAGATCACTAAATGATCTTCAACAAGGGTTCCAAGCTGTACCATGGGAAGGATAGCTTCTTCAATGAGTGATGTTAAGAAAACTAGGTGTCCCTACGGAAAAGAATGTCATGGATTCCCTACCTCATGGCACAGAGCGGAGCACCATGGTGTGATTTCATTCTCTATGGTTTCATGTACCCAAGGTCATCCAAATTTGAACATGTTAGGTGGAAAATTCCAGAAGTAAACCACTCATAAATGATAAATTGTGTGCTATTCTGAGTACCATGATGAAATCTTGCATCTCGCTCAGAAGGCAACTCACCCCTCTGGTCACCCTGTCCACAGTGCATTCACTCACCCTGTGGTCCTGCAGTAGCCATCTTGATTATCAGACCATAGCAGTTTTGTGGTGTTCATGTTTATATCCCTCTTATTTTACTCAGTAAATGGTGTAAAAAAACAGGGTATTAATATGCCCAAAGAAACAACAACATCCTTTATGTGGAAAGGTAAAAGCTTTCAATAAAGTAAGAAAAGATTGTATGCAGAGACTGCTAAGATTTGCAGTAAGGGAGGTTAAGAATTTATTTT